GACCCTGTATAGGGTTTCTGAAGAGCGCTGAGCACCCATGAATCTTTCTGTCTCCTTACTGCTGTCATTTTTAAGCACTGTCAAGTTGGTTCTGTGAGAAATGTTGTCGATACCAACCAACACACTCAAGAAATCCAATCTGTACTCATTTTAGCGTGAGATTTTCTTTATTTGATTTTGCAAAATTGGGCGCCCAGCCCAGTAGACATGGGCGGACACACGGCATGGCTGGCTCACAAACAGTTTTATTCCCCTGTCTCAAAAAAGCCCTTCCTCCAGTTCCCCTTTTTCTGGGTATTTAGTGGCAGCATCGATGGACTCAAGCGTGGCAACAGTAGTGAGTTTGGTCCTGGATCGGGCTGTGTTTCTGCTGTGCATAAGGTCGCTATGAGTCGTTACCGACTCGATGGCACCTAACAACAACAACAACAACAACAAATGGAGTTCACAGTCTACCGAGAACATTGCCTACTAGTCCTTACTGGGAGCATTCTCATTTCAAGTTAGTTTCCCTCCTCCCCGTGAGCTTCCCCTATTTCCTTGATGGGTGGGTTCTTATTTTTAAATCTCTAGCCTATCAAACTAGTCTCTTCCTCTCCCTAGAACTCCTTTTGTTATGCTAGCCTGCTACCCACAAGACTCCCGTAAATCCTGAAGATGGACCATCCCAAGAGCTATTTCTCACAGTTCCAACCCATAGCAGCCCTGTCCAGGGTTTCCAAGGAGTGGCTACTGGGTTTGAACCAGCGACCTTGTGGTTGGCAGACCTATATAGATTTGCGTATTCTAGACATTTTCTATCAATGGAATCATGCACCCTTTGTGTCTGATTTGTTGCACAAGGCCCATCCACGTCATGGCATGCACCGTATTCCTTTCAGGGCTGATAAGTAATATCCTACTGCGTGGATACACTCTGTGTTGTCATCCATTCATCCGTTGAGACAGGCATCCGGCTATTTCAGACACTGCTGCCATGAGATCCGTGCACAGTGGTAGTGTGGACATACACTTCATTTCTCTTGGTCACATGTCTAGGGATGGGATGGCTGGGTCATGTGGTAGCTTACTGTTAACCATTTGAGGAAATGCCAGTCTGTTCTCCAAACTTCTGCACCATTTTACAGCCCACCAACAGCCTCACAGAAGTTTGACTTGTGCTGGACCCTCCATCTAGATCAGGGTGGGGTATGCCCGACCCATTAAATCACTTGGTCTGGCCCTGCCAAGGCATGAGGTGAATTGGCAAAGTGGCAGCATCAGTGGGCTCAAGCATGGCAACAATTGTGGGGTTGGCCCAGGATCGGGCAGTGTTTCGTTCTGCTGTGCACAGGGTCACTATGAGTCGGTACCGACTCAATGGCACCTAACAACAACAACAACACCCTTACTGTTATAGGGGATCTATCTGTTTCTCCTTTAGTAATGATCAGCATTGGTCTCGTGTGTTTGGGTCTCATTGTTGTGTCTCCTTGCTGACGTGGCCCCTTTGATTATCATGTAGTGTCCTTTATCACTTGGAATAGATTTTGATTTAAAATCTATTTCATCAGTTTGTCCACTCCTCTTTTTTGTTTACTGGTTTCATGGAATTTTTTTTTCCCCTTCCTTTGACATTTAGGCTACTTGTTTTCTTATGTTTAAGGGGTGAAGAAACAATGATTTCTTGACAGCTGTTCTGTGGGGGGGGGGGTGCTATCCTCCAAACTAATGAAGAATTGGGGAGACCTCCAGCAACAACCTGCATAAATAAGTAAACTTCGCTGTCTTTCAGAAGGCAGGTCTTCCTGATTGTCACCAAAGTTCTACCCCTTATTCCTCTCCTGACCCTAAAGGACCTAATTAAGGATGCTGGGGCACAAAAACACTTAAAATATCTATGAAACCAGCCAGCCCCAAAACCAGTTGTTGTTTGGGTCTGCCCCAATTCATTATGACCTCGGGTATGTCAGATTAGAGCTTAACTTCACAGGATTTTCAACAACTGATTTTTCAGAAGTAGATCACCAGGCCTTTCTTCCAAGGTACCTCTGGATGGACTCGAACCTCCAACCTTTCAGCGAGCAACTGAGTGTGCTCCTTGTTAGCACCACCCAGAGACTCAAAATCACAAAGGAAGACATCCCATCGGTCTGCTGTCATAGACTGAGCTCCCCTGATTGCCTAGTAAAGTCTTTGGAATCACTAATTCTTAGAAGCTATTTGTGGTCACCTGGTCTTTTGTTAAGTACCATGGAGTCGGTTCCGACTCATAGCGACCCGGTACAGGGTTTCCGAGGTTGCAAATCTTGATGGGAGCAGAAAGCTTCATCTTTTCTCCTGTGGAACAGCTGGTAGTTTCAAACTGCTGCCCCTGAGGTTAGGAGCCCGATTCGTAACCACTACGCTACCAGAGCACCTTCTTCTGTGGACTCTGCTTAACTCAGAACCCATTCAACTTTGGGCAAGATGTTGATTGGCAAGCACAGCTAGCCGGCCGTGCCGGGACGCCAGTTTGCTATCAGGATATATATATACACTCCATGTTTGCATGTTTAGGTCACTGGCCTCTACCTAGGCAGGGGCGGTCAGTGTCACGTAAAACTAGCAGGATACAGCAGCGCTGGATTATGACTTTTGCCATCGTAAAGGAACATTGATGTTCAAGTGACAGCTTCATCACTCCTGCCTATTATGTTGTTGTTGTTAAGTACTGTCGAGTTGGTTCCGACTCATAGCGACCCTGTATAGGGTTTCCGAGGAGCAGCTGGTAAGCCTGAGCCACCAACCTTGTGGTTCAAACTGACTTTGCAGTCCAGCGCATTAACCCACAGCACCACCCCAGGACTCCTCTCCCTGTTATAATAGTAGTGAATTGTTGTTGTTGTTGTTGTTTGTTAACTGCCGTCACGTCACTTCCAAGTCGTAGCGACCTCGTATAGGGTGTGAACAGTGGTTCAGCAGTCCAGATCTGATCCTACAACACCATACCAGGACCCCACTCAGCCATAGAGATGACGTCCTGATGCACGCCCCACCGTGGGAGACCGTAGGAAACATCCTGCTAACTCATTCACAAAAGGACCTATATACGGAATAGGCAGCTGGGTCGCCAGGGGTGGGAGGCAGGGGGCAGTGAGTTTCTGCTCATCCGGAAAAGGGTAGAGTTCGGGTCTGCGCAGCTCACGGAGTGTAATGGGTGTGTCGCCAAATTGTGCGTGTAGACATTGCTGGGTTGTCGGATGTGGCGTGCTTATCCTCACCCCAGTAACTTAAATAGAAGAAGTCATAGCTCGGAGAACACATGAAGTCATAGGCGTAAATGTCATCCCACCGATTAGAGGTGATCACAACTCACAAACCGTCTCCACAGCTCCTCTGCCAGAAATTCCATCTGGCATGTAGCCACAGGCATACCGGCAGTCACCAGATTCCCACCCGTCACTGAAATGCACACAGGACACTGCATGTGTGGTGCGCCACCTCCAGGGCAGGCTCAGCCGACCAGTGTGGAGAAACCGTTGGGTGGGTGTCGACGGGGAGACATGGGAACCGGGCCAGGAAGGTTACCACACACACTGCTTTTCCATAGCAGCTGCACTTTTGGAAAACATTATGCTTTACCATCAAATCAACTCTGACTCATGGAGACACCACGTGGGCAGAGTAGAACTATCCCACAGGGTTTTCAAGGCTGTGGTCATTCTGAAGCAGGTCACCAAGTCCTTTCTTCTGAGGTGCTCCTGGTTGGACTTGACCCGCCAACCTTTTCAGTGCTTAACCATCTGCACCATGCAGGAATGCCCAGATTTCTTCTGGATGCTATCATTGGTCCTTTCTAGAAGCAGAGCTTCCAGCTGGGGTTTTCCCTTAAGAATAAATTAGCTTAGCAGCCCACCTCAATGGGTTTTATTTAAAATGTTGCCTTTTCTAGGAGGAACGATAAACTTGTATAAAGCGCCCTTTGCTTTCTTCCTAAGGGTTGCCTTTTTTCATCTGCAGAAGAGGTGATTAGTGGGTGTGAGTTACAAAGTGTAAAGTAGTTATGCTAGCTAGCTGAAAGATGTGCAGTTTGACCTCACCAGCACCTCCCTGGGGGGCAGGGAGAGAAGAGCTGGTGGTCCACTTCAGTAAAGATGACAGCCTGGGAAACCCTCTGGGGCATTTCTGTCACACGGATTGGCTGTGAGTGGACTTGGCTTCAGGGCACCGTACAATCAGCAACAAGCATCCTACAGTCTGAACTCTTCAGAGTAACGAGCTACCCCCATCCGGAAGCTGTGCTGGGGTTGATTCTGATTCATGATGTCCTCCTTATGTGTCCAAGTAGAACTGCTCTCCATAGGGTTCTCCATGGAGAACTGGTTGGTTTTTTGTAAGTAGATCCCCCCCAGGCCTTTACTTCTGAGGGACCTCTGGGTGAACTCGAACATCTGCCCTTTCAGTGAGCAGCTGAGCGCAGTAAGAGCTCACACCATCCAGGGATGGCTTGGTTCACACGCAGGTGGGTGCAGTCAGCCATTTGGACTGCCTAGTGCACGAGATTGGTTTTCAGTGACTGTGTGAAATGGAATCAGAGTCCCTGGTCCACTCTGGTGGTAACGTCCTGCTCAGTGCCACCGTATGCAGCTAAATGTTTTGTCCTTGGGGCTTTGAGCCCCAGACTTCAAATCGTAGATTAATTGGGATCATCTGTGCAGAAGTGGCGGGAGCCCCCGTAGGTGCCGAGCGCTGGCTTCCATGGTCACAGCCGATTTCCAGCAAACGGTCACTGCTCTCTGCCCTTTACCACCCCTGAAGACTGCGAGGTGTCAGTTTATTATGCTCCAAGGAGAAAGCCCTGTGCAACTCCTACCCCAAGCGGTCACAGTGGGGACCAACTTCCTGCCCTCCAGCCCCACCGACTGAGCCAATGCAGTAAGGGGGAGACGCAGTGTTACCTTTCTAGAAGGATCGCACCGCAGGTATAAAAACAGCGCTGGCGGCCGCGGCGCCACCCCAGCGCCCCGATTGTGAACATGGGGAACACACACCCCAAAGGCTGCGACAGGAACGGCACGCTCCCGGGCCACCCCGAGCTGTCATTTTACGGCTCCTTCCCTCGGAAATGGAACGAGAAGAGCTTCTTAGATAATGAGCTGCTGACCTCCAGGGTTCTGTCCGTGCTGCGGCCGCGGCCCGAGAGGGGCGTCCAGGCGGGCACCCTCCACTGCCCCGCACACTTTCTGAGCACCAACTCTGTGTTTGCCTCCGTCGCAGCCTCACTGAAGGAACAGCCACGGGGCACTCTCCTGTCCCCCGATGGCAGCCCGGCCCTGCCCAGGAATGTCGGCATGACGGTCCCGCAGAAGGGGGTCCCACCACCAGCACCGAGCCCCACTGGAACAGGGGCACGACTTGGGTAAGCCACTTCCTCTGTCTGTTGTGAACGCAGGCAAAGAGAACGCAGCCCCTGTCCTCCCCCCACCCCGGGGACTGTTGATGCCCCTGTGGTGAGCGGCAACATGCCCATTAGCACTTGGCTCCCAGCTTCAGCCCTTCTTTTGTCCAAAGCCAGGCATTGGTGGGGTGTGTTTCAGGCATTTGGAGCCAGGGCACTGCCGATTCATGCCCTTCCAGAACGTACCTGCACTGCTCCCTTAGATAGAGCTCCTCGCTGTGCCCAGGATGGGGGGCCTGAGCCTGCTGAAGATACCTCTGAGATAACACTCCATTGTCTAGCCCCTTCCTGACCACATAGGGACCCAGGGGAGGGGGATGTTCACTGAAGGACACACGCTGAGTCTGTGGACACAGTGTGATGGCCCGCAGGACCGTGGGGAGAGGAACTGATTAACTGCTTTTTTCCCCTAAGAAAGAGCCGTCCTGAAGTTACGCTGTTTATGGGGACAGAAAATTGAACGTGTTATTGGTGAGGGTCGCACCACATGATTCGTAGAATTGCTACCTCTAAATTGCACACGTGGAAAGCATTGCATTGGCAAATACTGGGTCTTATGTATTTTTACAATTTATAAAAGAAGAAAGCACTGTCTTCTTGCCCACCTCCTCCCACACCCCATCGGTGAGGTTGGTCCACTTAACGGTTAGGAGTAAGCAATCCAGGTGCTTCCAGGGACTCCGTTAGTCAGTAAAGAGCCAGCTGCCATCCCATCGACTGTGACTCCCGACAGCCACGCGTGTCAGAGTAGAACCATGCTCTGTGGGGTCCTCAGGGACTGATCTCTCAGAAGTCGGTCATCCGGCTCTGGGTGGATTCAAATCACCAACCTTTTCGTTAGCAGTAAAGCATGGCCACTGTTTGCCCCACCCGGGGATTCCAGAATTGGTAAAGGAAGTTAAGGTGCCACTGGAGTGTTAACTGAACATCCACCGTCCAACTGCTAGAAGACACCCCAGTGTTTCAGTCTCCTAATTTCAAACTTACCCATGACCACGTTAAATTCACATTGAAATCCAGAACATTCTCTCTCATAACATAACCAGATGGAGTGGGGCTTGTGTGCGTATGTGCATGCGTGCGTGTGTGTGTGTGTGTGTGTGTGTGTGTGTGTGTGTGACTTCACCCTTTGAAATGATTGTGTGCTATGATTCCTTTTCTATTTAGACCAGTTACAGGAGAGATGGATGAAGCTGATTCCGGGTTTTTAAAATTCAAGCAGGCACCCGATGACTCTCTCTCGCTTACATCTTCAAATGCTGAGTCCATTTTTGTAGAAGGTACAAAGGTCTCTCCCACCCCACCCCCTTGGGTTTTGGAAGCCCGTGTCCCCCAAGACGGAAGGGGGTGGACAGACAGCAGGCCCGGAGCTGCTAGAATGAGTTCTTCCTGCAGATCCATACACCGCCTCGCTGAGGAGCGAGCTCCAGGCAGACGCCCATGAGCTGGAGGCTGAGTCCTGGAGTCTGTCTGTGGACTCGGCGTTCATGAAGAAACAAAGACGAGAGGTGGTGAAAAGACAGGATGTCCTATACGGTGAGGGCCCCGGGCCGCCACACTCACCCTCGGCTGACGGCTCTGCTTTCTTTGTGTGAACCCCTCCACTGAGCTCCCCGGCCCCCACAGACCACATTGCCATGGGCCAGCCTCCTCTCAGGGCATGCTTCCTGAGAACCATCCCAGTGTGATTGTGGCCCCCACACGGTGACCCTGAGACATGCTCCCTGGTCCTGCCCAAGCTGTCTCCGATGGCCCCGGACAAGCCAGGCCTGGCTGTGGTGCTGACAGTGGTCATTAAGTACCATTGAGTCTGTCTTGACTCACGGCGACCCTAAGTAACAGTAGAATTGCCCCACGGGGTTTCCTGTGCAGCTCTTTATACCCAGATCTTGTCTGCCAAGTGCCCGCTGAGTTCTAACTGCTGATCTTTTCAGTTAGTAGCCAAGCACTTAACCATGGCACCACCAGGGCACCTTGACTGCAGACTTGGCTGGGTTTTGGAGGCACGCTCTTCTCTCAGGTGTGATTAGCATGGTCTCCATGGTGGGCTCCCCTCCCGGAACCATGCTGAATCCTCCTCGCCCCGTCCTGCCAGTCATCGGTTAAATCCTCCTCGCCCTGTCCTGCTGGTCATCGGAGAACCTGACCCTAGCCAGCTGCTTCCCTTTGACATGGGGCGGTAACTGAATAAGAACAGCCGCTGCCAAAGTAGGTCCCCACCCAGACCCCTGTACCGGGTGCCATGCAGGGGGCTTCACATAGGTGCTGCATGCCCAAGCTGAGACCTCTGTGCACCCAGAATGCCCTGTGGTTCTGGTACTACTCTCAATTCTGTCTCCATGAGACGTATCCACAGGGTTGTCGCCACTGTGTAATGCCATGGAGTCGATTCTGACTCAGCAGCCCCATGTGACAGAGGAGAACTGTTGGATAGAGTCTCCTCGGCTGTCGTCTGTACAGAGGCAGATTGCCAGGTCTTGCTTCCGAGGAGTTGCGGGTGGGTTTGAACCACCAGCCTTTCAGTTGGTAGCTGAGCGCTTTAACCCGCTGCACCACTAGTGCTCCTTGAGATACTACGGAGATGCATTTTTGCTTTCCCTCATGTAGAAGTTTCTGGCATCTCCAGTGGCCCTTTCCTGCTTTTCAGAATCAGAGCTCCCTCTCAGGGTCCCAGAGCCAAGGAGAGGTCCTGCAGAGACATCCTGCAGGCAAGCCTTCTACCACATTGTCACAGCCTCTGGGCCCCACAGATGCCTCAGCTCCTCATGGGCTCTCTTTAGGGGATACGTTTCCCCCCCCAGTATCCTCTCAGGTGGAGAGCATTCCCACCCATAGGACCCTCTCCTAAGGGGAGAACATTCCCACCCATAGGACCCTCTCCTCAGGGGAGAACATTCCCACCCATAGGACCCTCTCCTCAGGGGAGAACACTCCCATCCCTGTACAGTCAGCCATACAGAATTGTGCAGGGTTCATAGTGCCTGGCTCCGAGTCCACCCACAAACTGCAGTCCTTAACCCTGACTTTGAGAGCAACCCAAACTCAAGAGCAATCTATGGTCTTTCTCTGCTGTAGACTTTAAAATCAAAACCTCCCTTGATATCTGCTTTTAGCCCATGTGCGTCCAGACATCGGTGTTCATCAGACACCTTGCTTAAAACAGTCTGAGCCTCCTTCAGTTGGCTTTAGGTTTTAGAGGACCCAGAGCACATCCTTACTCCTTTCCTTCCTTTGTTTGCATCCAGGCAGGGTGGGACAGGAGGTCTGGAAACTGGGTAGTGAAACCAGAGGGCAAAGACTTCTTCAGAAACTTCTGGAAGTGTGCTGTCCCTGGCATGTGTGTGGGTAGCCAGGACTCCCGAGGGATATTGCTGTCAGGGGGAGCCAGGCATCATCCCCAGTGTGGGTAAGTCGTCTCTCCCACCCCGTGTCCCCACAGAGCTGATGCAGACAGAGGTGCACCACGTGCGCACCCTCAAGATCATGCTGAAGGTGTACTCGCGGGCCCTGCACGAAGAGCTGCAGTTCAGCTGCAAGGCCATCAGCCTCCTCTTCCCATGCGCCGGCGACCTGCTGGACATACACAGCCACTTCCTGGCGCGGCTGAAGGAGCGCCGCCAGGAGTCCCTGGAGGCGGGCAGCCACCGCAATTACATCATCCAGAGAATCGGGGACCTGCTGGTGGAGCAGGTGGGCGCCACCAAAGCGCATGCCAGGGACAAGCGTGCACCGCCCCATCTCTGTGCCTCTGGCTGCCATAGAAGCCATGCTGAGCCCTGACGACTGTGAGCTCAGTTTATATTCTAGGAACACAGAGGCCTGAAAGGGCAGAGTCCTTGTCCAGACGGGCTTCCATGTAGTGTGCGATTGTCCAGCTGCATACTCACATTTCAGTTTGGGAGGGTTTGCCTGCTGTGTTTTTGGCCATTGGAAGTGTCACCTCTGGACCAGAGCCCTGGAGGGAGGCCCGTGGGTCCTGCCGTGATGTCGGGCCCATCTAGGAAGGACAGAGGTGCTGCCCTGTGCCTCAGAGTACTGCCTCCGCTCATTAGGAGGACCTGGCACCCTTGGACGGTTTACTTTCCCCCTCACAGATTTCAGGGAGTTGAGCAGCCCTGCACCAGAAAGTCTTGTTCTTTCATCTTACTTACACCCTGGGCTAGGCGCACCGTTCAGAAGCGCCCCTCTGCTGCGTGCGTGCGTGCCTGCGTGCCTGCGTGCGTGCGAGCAAATCTGCATTCGCAGCAGCCCCCACAGAGCAGCTTGGATTAAAAATGCACTGCCAGTTTTAAACACCCGCTTTCCTCGCTCCATCCCAGTAATGTCTCCGTCCTCTTTTCTACTAGTTTTCAGGCGAGAGCGGAGAACGAATGAAAGAAAAATATGGCGTCTTCTGTAGTTGCCACAACGAAGCCGTCGGAAATTACAAGTTGATGCTGCAGCAGAACAAGAAATTTCAGAACTTGATCAAGGTAAAAAATAAAAATAATAACTCTTTTTTTTTTTTTAATTCAAAGTTTATTCTCTTTGCTGCAGGTTTTGACCACAGAACTGCTGTCGATTCTGGGGTCTCGGAATTCTAAGATCCAGTGATGTTCAAGTTTTCATTTGTAGCCACAAAGCCCTTTGTCAGGGAAATAAATCTTCCATAGAATCCTAAGACATGAAGCAGATCATAGCAAAGCGTTTCTGGTGGTTTGTTCCTCCCCATGTCGGGCACCGGCGTGGCCTCTGGGGTGGAGCCTGCTGACCCACAGCTTCTGGACTGTTTGGGTGACACACAAGAGTTATTTCAAGGGGCTGCCGTGTCCTACCCGCTACAGCCTCTCAGTCTCCACTGACGCCCTCACTGGGGTCAACCAGTTACTGTTGAGTTGATGCGGACTCCTGGTAACCCGTGTGTGTCAGAGTAGAACTCTGCTTCATCAAGTTCTCAGTGGCTGAGTTTTTTGGGTAGCAGGTCACCAGGCCTTTCTTCTGAGGTGCCTGTGGGTGGGCTCAACCTTGTGGTTAGCAGCCGAGACCATTCTCTGTGAGCACCACCCAGGGCCTCCCTTGGGAGCCATTTACCACTGAGTCAGTTTCAACTCTGGCGCCCCCATGTGTGTCAGAGTGGGACCATTCTCTGTGAGCACCACCCAGGGCCTCCCTTGGGAGCCATTTACCACTGAGTCAGTTTCAACTCTGGCGCCCCCATGTGTGTCAGAGTAGAACTGTTCTATAGGGTTTTCAGTGGCTATGATTGGTTGAAACCAGATTGCCAGGACTTTCTTCTGAGGTGCTTCTGGATGGGTTCAGACTGCCAGCGTGTCAGTCAGTAGTCCAGTGACTGTTTGTGCCACTCAGCCACTCCCCGTATCCCCTTACCAGTTCATGTTTGCCTCGAAGGGTTTGGAGAGGTGAGGGGGCTGTAGAACACATATCAGCTGCTTCTAGCTCACAGCCCAGAACCAAAAACTGTCCCCACATCCTGAGTTAGCAAAGTCTAGCAAGGCCCTACCTAAGAAAGGCCTAGAAAATCCACTGGGTTAACACCACTTATCAATGCTTACCTTTTCAGCAGCGCTAGCAATGGGCCCTGATGTGGCTCTGTAGGATAAGCACTAGACTGCTAACCACAAGATCAACAGTTAGTTCAAACCCACCAGCTGCTCCTCAGAAACCTATCCAGGGCTGCTATGAGTCAGAACCAACTCGATGGCACTTCACAACAACTAAGCAGTGGGCTCAGTGGTAGAACGATACCACTTTCCATGTAGGAGACCCGGATTCAGTTCCCGCCCAGTGCTCCACCCATCTGTCCACAGACACTCCTGTGTTGTTCCAGTGCTGCGCAGGTTCCAGTGAAACTTACAGATTAAGACAGACCAGGAAGAAAGACCTGGAGATCTACTTTTGAGAATCAGGCAGTGAGCCCTATGAATCACAATTCACAGCCAATTATGGGGATGGCAAGGAGCAGGGCAGCACTTTGTCCCGTGGTGAACAGGGTCGCCATGAGCCGGGACCAACTCTGACACCTGGTAACACAGCACCCTTGAATCCCAAACAACTCCTACTGCCTGTCCTGTGCCACGAGGACTTTATTCCGAAGTGACAGTCAACAGCTGGTGGTTGGAAGCGAAGAACTGGATGTTTTCTCAGTTCTGCCCTATTACAATTGCAGTGGAGGGAGGTGAAAGAGCCAGCCGGGGTCATAACGTCATCGGGAAACACTGGCCGGAGCTCTGGCCTCCTGGGCAGGAAGCCCAGAGTGTGGGAGGGTTCCGATGCAGCCGCAGGAGCCCCACAAAGCTCCTGGCTGCTCTCTGGCTCTCTTCAGATGACTGGCCTTCCTCAGACACACAAGAGCAGGTGACAGATAAAGTAAACTGTGTGGTATGTTCTGAAAGGCCCACTGAGCTGCTCTTAACACCCCACCAAGAAGTAATTTTAGATGACTCTGTCTGTGGGTCTTTGGCAAGAGGTGTGCATTGGAAGCCAGCAGGGAGCTGGTTAAGAAGACATACCCAAGCCTAGTTTCTAGAAGGTTCTGACAGCTGTTAGTCAGGATGAGGGTCTTCCTGTGTGTGTGTGTGTGTGTGTGTGTGAGAGAGAATCACTAGTCTGATTATTGTCTCTTCCTGGTTCTACAGGGACCCTTGTCCCCTTAACAGGTATCTACCTTTGCTTTGTTGGCCTTTTTGTACATAGCAGGTGACCCCTGCCTTCAGGTATTCAGTGTAAGATTCCCCCCTACATGTGACCTGCCTCCAGCCCTGAAGCAGGGCATGGAGGAACCCCAGCCCCGGTTACCAGTCACAAACAATGTCGGCAGGTATTAAGAGGTTCATGAAGAGAGTCCTGTTTTCTCATTTCCTAGAAAATCGGCAACTTCTCCATTGTGCGGCGGCTGGGCATTCAGGAGTGCATCCTGCTGGTCACTCAGCGGATCACCAAGTACCCGGTGCTGGTGGAGCGCATTATTCAGAACACAGAAGGTATGGTGCATGTCCCTAACACCCGCCCATCAGTCTCCTCTGGCCCCGTGCCGACAGTGGGCGCCTCTGTGCTTTGTCCCCGATTCTCCAAATGCACCCCAGTTCAGTGCTTATGAACTGACTACCTGCTACACAGAACCCAGGGTGCTGGGCCAGGGCCACGGATGTGGCAGTTAGCACCACAAAGGCAGGGGCCAGCCCTTGGTTGCCCACCACCATCCTCCCTAAGGAGTCCTGGTGGCATAATGGCTAAGCACTTGGCTGCTAACCAAAGGGTCAGCAGTTCATACCCATAGGAGAAACATCTAGCAGTCTGTTCCTGTAAAAATGACAACCTAGAAACCCTTATGGGGGAGTTCTACTCTGCCACATGGGGTCGCTGTGAGTTGAGAATTGATTTGAGGCCAACCAATACCACCATCCCCCAGCCTCTAGCCAGCTGGGCCAGAGCAGGCGCTTGGTCCCTGTCTCCGGGTTGAGCCAGATGGGCACAGAGGTGACCTCAGTATCACATGAGAGGGCTGTGCTTGGAAGAGGCCAAGGGAGGACAGAGAAAGGGCCTGGAGGGGAGCCCAGGGGATTGTGGGATGAGCACATTCCTGGACCACAAAAGCCCTGTCTGGACAGGGAGCGACCAGCACTTAGTCACACCCGAAGGTGGGGAGCGCACGGGGGAGTGTGTTTATCACACAGTCCAAGCTGTGCAGCGCATTGTTGCCACTCGACTTGGGCCATAGCTAGGCATCGCACAGAAAGCACGGTCTTTGGCAGAAAATGAATGCCGAGCTGCTACGTTCATTTTCAACAAGCACTACTTCACATCCCGGGATATGATTGCTGGAGGGCGGTTCATGAGGTGCCTCTGAGCATCCTGGGATGGGGGTGCACCTCCCAGACCCTGTGAACGTCTGTCCACTTGTGTTGTGTCCATTGACTTGATGCAGAAAGGTGCTAACTCTGTTGTTATGGCAGCTGGCACCGAGGACTATGACGACCTGACCCAGGCCCTGAGCCTCATCAAAGATATCATCTCACAAGTGGACGCCAAAGTCAGCGAGTATGAGAAAGGCCAGCGGCTCCGGGAGATCGCAGGGAAGATGGACCTCAAGTCCTCCAGCAAACTCAAAAACGGCTTGACCTTCCGCAAGGAGGACATGCTGCAACGGCAGCTAACCCTGGAGGGCACACTGTGCTGGAAGACCACATCAGGGCGCCTCAAAGGTACAGCCCCACTTCCAGCCATCCCCAGTAGGCACCATCTTGGATCAGGGCACCTCAAAGGTACAGCCCCACTT